AAATATGAGTGAGCATTTGATGAGAGTACTATAAAAGTAGCTTTTTATGGTCAACTTTAATTTTTTTTAACTTGAGAAAACTCAATCCGATAAAAGTACCCTTGTAATTGAAAGTGAACCAAATGCCACCTTTATTAAACTGTGTAGGGGAATTGCTTATGTCATTCAATATACTCATTAAGAGACTTGGTTTAGTAGTGAGTAAATTGTTAATGCTTAGATGATAATAATACTACTAATAATAGCTTGGACTCCCGTGATATCTGAACATAAGACACAGAGCAGATACTACCCATTGTGGCTAAGATCAGTGGTAGGACAATGGGTGGCAAATGTTTCACCTCCTAAGAGTGTGGGGCAATGTCCTTTCATCTTGTTAATATGAAAGAGCAAAATCCTAAGTAGGAAAGGTCAGAAAATAATGAGAATAAGCAAGTACAATAGAAAAATTTTTAGAAGAAAGAAAATACTAAGGAAAAAGACATAAAAGACAAAGCTAGCTATAATGAGGAAAACTTGGTAAAATTCAGTAATTTGGCTTAATTATTTTGAAGAATGGTCTAAATGTTGATGTTTGTAAATACATTCTTTCATTCAATGCACCAAGAAATCACACAAAGCAATATGTGTGTCTACACTCAATATGAATGTCTACTATCACAAAGGTCCAAAGAAAAAATTCAGATGCTTCAGCCCTCAGTGAGCTCACTGTAGTTTACTTTCAAGCATCTGAAGCAACAGAATCAGCCTTGGGAAAGCATTGGTTAGAAAAGGTCCTTGGTACATGGTTGCTTTCAACACTTATATTGCACTAAGACATTAGGAACCTTTTGTTAAAGGTTGCTTCCTGTTTTACAACATTAAAATTAAAGTTATAAGTTTTCTATTTTTAGCATTTCTTGCTTTCCATTTTCTATTATAAATAACATTGCAATGAGCATCTTCAGGTACATAGTACCCCACATTTTAGCTTATTTCCTTACTCCAGTTCTGAGAAGTGGGATTACCGGTTCAAGAGGCTTTAACAGCTAAATCACTTTTGGAGTATTGCCAAATTGCTTTCTAAAAAGGTTGTGTCAGTTTATAATACTGTGAGCAATACATGACAGTAATGAGAGAAGCAGTTTTATATTCTCATCACATGGCCATACTTTACAATTAATATTTAACACTTTCAGAGTTTTAATTTAAAATTCAAATAATATGAGATAATTTGCATATAGGTGCTCATTTTACACAAAAAGGCTTTTATCTTGTGATTTTTGTGGAAGCAATAAAAATCAAATGCTAAAATTCAGTCTTTAAGAAGGTTATCTAGTAACAGGTCACATGAATATGAACATGTTCCACCTTTTCATTTTCTCCCAGTAGTTCATCAGAGCCCTGATTAATAGGATTTTAAAGACAAATATTATCTAGACTGAAATAAATGTACTCAAAAACGTTTTTAGAAAGTTGTAGTCTCTATCATTTATTTTCCCATGTTTTTTTACATAAGATGAGAAAATGTGTTACTTTGGGAAAATATTAACTTCAAGACATATAGTAAGACAACATTAAATAGTGTGGCAAAACTTTTGAAGTCACATATTTAATGCAAAATGGTATCTTTTTGGAAAAAAATATTAACTTTAAAACTCACAAGCTATTAATGTGAACCCCTTTGAGGTTGTTTATTTTCTTGTATTTTGTTTTTATTAAAAAATCCAGCACTTGGAAACATGCTGGCTTTTTCTAGTGAAAAAGCTGGATTTATTCTCAAATGGAGGACAAGCTGCAATACTCGGGGACCACAGTTTTAAATAAATCAATAAACAAACAAATAGAACAGTTAAATTCAGGATCACATATACAAGTACATTTAGCAGTGGGATATGAGCCAGGTGCATTTCAGTTTAGGTAGCACATGATCTGACAAACACAAGTGTCCTTGTGCAGACAACTGGCTAGCATATTTTAGATTACAGCTGCCCCCATAAAACCAAGAGTCATTGCTGCAATTACTGTGCTTGTTGAATCCATCTATTTTTTTTTGCTTTGTTTTGTTTATTTTTTTCATTTTTGCTGCAAAGTTCAGCTGAATAACATGGATCCATTTATTGATCTTAAAATCTGTAAATCTATATTTCTGCATATTAAGTTGATATTAGGAGGCATACTTCATAGATTCTCGAGCCAATTTGCCAGGGTTCCAATCCCAGCTCTGCCATTTACTAGCTATATGACTTTAGGCTAGTAACTTAACCATTTAGTACCTCAGTTTCTCCATCTATGAAATGGAGACAATAATAGCACTCAACTCATAGAGTTGTTGGGAAGATTATATGAGTTAATCTACACAAAGCTTTAAAATAGTACCTGGCATATAATAAGTACTATATGAGGTATTCCTATATTCCTAATATCATGATTTCTAGTTTTTATTATTACTTCTACCTAAATTTAAATAAAGCTTTATAGCCCTTATTAAGGAATCAAAAAGATAGTGAACACATCTGCAAATATCTGTATTTCCATAGCACAGTTAATTTGGGCCTAAAAATACAGTTTTGCAGTAACAGTTACATGGTATGTATGCATAGAAGTGGGAAAATTTGAGTCAGTTACTTCTGGCTGTGAATTCTACCACTAACTTACTATGTGACTCTGGGAAATTTACCTAGTCAACCTCTCTAAGCCTTTAAAGGAGAAATAATACTTGCCTGACAAGATAAGGCTAAAGGATTTTCCTTAAGTAAAAAGAGGAGGTCTGAAGTTCTGTGTCAGGAGGTAGGAAAGAGAATGAATGTGAGGACCTCAGGCCTACTTCAAACAACTCAACTATCAGGTTAAGTATGGAATGTCCAAGTTCCTTAAGTACTAAGTTTGACAGTTGATATCTCTGACATTTCGCTTTGATACTTCTTGTTTTATTTTTATTGTGAAGGTACATCCTCATTCTTTCAAACACATGGTTTGGCTTGTGATTATCTTTCAAGTTTTTTCTTTGGAGCAATTTTTGTGAAACCATGGATAAGCAAAAAGTTTGTGGTATTTTTTAACATGAGTTCCGTCGTGGAACCAATGCAGTGCAGATGACTGGAAATAACAAAGTTTGGGAAGGATGTGGCTAATGAACGCCCACTATGTCGATGGTTTGAGAAGTTCCCTTCTAGTGATTTTGATCTTGAAAATGAGCCATGCGGGTGACCTGAGACCAAGGTGGATAAGGGTGAACTGAAAGCTGTAGTGGAAGCAAATCCATCTTAATCTATGCGTGAATTAGCAGCAAGGTTTGACGTGACTATCTCAACAATATTGAACCATTTAAAACAGATTGGGTAGGCAAAGAAGCTGGATAGATGGGTACCACATGAATTAAATGAGCATCAGAAGAGAAATCGTCTCGAAGTTTGCCTTTCTTTGCTGTCATGACATGAAGGTGAACCATTTCTACACCATATTGTTATGGGTAATGAGAAATGGAATCTTTTTGACAATTGCAAGCATTCGGCACAATGGTTGGATAGAGATGAAGTGCTGAAACACAGTCCAAAACTGAATATTCATCCAGGAAAGCTAATGGTGTTTGTTTGGTGATCCAGGGCTGATAATAGCCACTACACTTCATGAAACCTGGTCAATCAATGACATAAGATGTCTACTGCAACCAATTAGATGAAATGATGAGAGTGCTTGCAATTTAGAAGCCAAGATTGGTCAACAGAGACAGGCCAATCCTCTTGCAAGACCACATGTTGCAAAAAACAACACTGCTCAAACTACCGAAGCTAAACTTGGAAACTCTGTCATTTACCATATTCACCATCAACAACTGACATTTATCTAGAGAAGAGTGGAGAGAATATTAGTTCTACTTTTAAATGTTGTTATTAAGGCCAGGCGTAGTGGCTCACGCCTGTAATCCTAGCACTCTGGGAGGCCGAGGTGGGCGGATTGCTTGAGGTCAGGAGTTCGAAACCAGCCTGAGCTAAGGGCGAGACCCCGTCTCTACTATAAATAGAAAGAAATTAATTGGCCAACTAATATATATAAAAAAAATTAGCCAGGCATGGTGGCGCATGCCTGTAGTCCTGGCTACTCGGGAGGCTGAGGCAGGAGGATCACTTGAGCCCAGGAATTTGAGGTTGCTGCGAACTAGGCTGACGCCACGGCATTCACTCTAGCCTGGGCAACAAAGTGAGACTCTGTCTCAAAAAAAAAAAAAAAAATAGACACTTATATATCAATATTTCCAAAAGTGAGGCCATAAGATAAATTTAAGGGATCTCCAAAATATCATGCCAGGTGAAAAAATCCTGACACAAAAGACAACATATGATTCCATTTATATAAAAAATTCAGAAAAGGCAAATCTATAGACACAGAAAGTAGATTAGTGGTTCCTGAGGGTAGGAGTGGAATGAGCATGGATGGAATGAGCATGGATGTGAACTGTAAATGGATGTGAATGATCTTATTGGGATGATGGAAATGTGCTAAAAGTGGATTGTGGGGATGGTTGTACAACCCAGTATAATTGCTAAAAAATCATTGACTTTTAAACAGGTGAATTTTATGATATGTAATTATATCTCAATAAAGTTTTTTTAAAGGATAAATCTATGTAATCACGAGTACTTTTTAATCATTTACTAGGCATGTAAATCATATTATACTCTAGAGGAACTATAACTAGCACATTAAGTTGTGATTTCACAGTAGAGATATAAAATTTTCAAATAAATTTCTAAGTTAAAAAAGATGAATTAATGTAAACAATTGATTTAATTACATTATCTTAATTTATGTAATTGATTTAAATAAAAGTGATGATATATACTAGAAGTTTTGGTAAATGCTAGTCTAGGTCATTGATTCTTAGCTGATAAAACCCAGCTCTGTGTGTGTGTGTGTGTGTGTGTTAATCTCAGGATCAGAAATAAAGATTAAATGGGATAATACTGATTTAAATGCTTCATAAATTGTCAATGCTATACTAACAAAAGAAAAGGAATGGCTTACTTAAGCTGCCTTTATTTTAATATAAAAGAAATCTTTACAAGGTTATGACAGATAAGAAGCTTTCCAGTTGGGACAGGAGTAATTTAACCAGTTTCTCTGCCTCCTTCTTCTGGAGTTTCAATTTCTTCCTTCAGTAAACATTATTGAATGCCTACCAGGAATCCACTAGGTGCCAGATCCTTGTTCTTGATCCTCAAGAGATGTCTAGTTGCCCTCTCCTCTTCTTCCAAGCTAAGATGCTGTACCATGAAACCTCTACTGGATTGGGGTGGAACACCTCCAAGCCCTTTCCTGGTTGTACGTGGCACAGCTGAAAATGGGTTGGCATTTTTGAAACTTTTCCAAATATTAACCGAGGGGAAAAAACCCACAAGAATATAATCAAGTCTTTAAATTACAGATAACTGAAAAAAAAAAGAAAGAAAGAAATCATCCTCCCTCAACCCCATCTAGATTCAGTTTCTAAATTCCTGCCTTTCACACTCCTTGTTCCTTCTAAAGAGGCTAGCAGTTCCCACCTTCTCAAGAAAACAATGCTGTGCTTGCTCAGTGGCTTTTAAGTCCCACCCCCAAATGAACAAAACAGTCACTATATTCTAAGTTCTCATTCCCATAGAAACCATGGAACACCCTCACTCTTCCAATCTCCACATTGTTAAGATTGATTTGTTTTCACCAAAATGTTGTTGTTTTTGTTATTATTACTATTTTGATGTTAGTTTCCCTAATGAATAAATCCAGGGACCTTCTGCAGTATCTAGACATTCTGATAAGTTCTCTCTACTTAGCTATCAGCCAAATTTGCAAAGGCTGTGAAAAAAAAGATCAGGGCAGGCCTCATATCTTCGTGCCTCTCGTGCACATAGTGCACTCACATGGTTTTGTTTCATCTCTTGCCAATTCTAAAAGGGTATGCAAGGCAGATACTATTACTCCTTGCACTGAAGAGTTAAAGGACGTGCCTAAAGCACAGCATGCTAGATGATGACAGAGCCTGAATTGACAACTGTTCTGGATGACCTAAGTGAATTTATCTTTTTATTCCAAATTCTTTAGTAAGAAAGAATCGCCCCTTGGGGGAAGTAAGAACTGAGCTCAAAGGGGAGTAACTGACTGGGGGATAGGAGTGGTGAGAGGGAAGAAGGGGTGGTTAGACCTCAGGGATGTGGGCTTTGCCCCCACCACGAAGCCAGGGTTTTCTTTTTGTTTTAAGTCATTCAAATTGAGAGTAGGTCTGGTGTAGCCTGTTTGCTGGGCTCCCTTCAGACCTATCCTGGTAGTTATATTGACTCACCCAGCAAAATAGCAAATTACAGAAACACAATAAGAAAATAAGAAAAAGCAAAGCACGTGGCGTATGGGATCTCACTGTTCTTGGCCCTTCTCCCGACCCGTAGCCGCTCCCTGTTACGACTGCGCAGGTGATTCGCCTATAAAAGCCAGTCTCGGAGCGTCTTACCGCCACAAGCTCTTCCTGTTTTCGTCGCAGTTGTCGCTTGTTGCTGGAACCGCAGTGGCTGCGAAGATGGCGTCTACCAGCCGGTTAGTATGTCAGGCCGAGCCCGGCTAGCTGAGGGGCGGGCGGCGAACGCCGGGGGTTTCTCGGCGGCCGCCGGGGCCGCCGTGTGGAGCAGAGCGCCCGGAGGAACGAGCGAGAAGCGGCGAGACTGGCTGGCTGGCCCGGACAAAGGCAATTGCAGGCGGCAAGACTGTCAGGGGGTGTCGCAGGGGGTACCGAGATGTCGGCGTTACTGCCTCGGCGATCTAGGTCGTCTTATCATCCAGGCACCACCCTGTGTGGGCGCCGGTAGGGTCCTGTGTCCTCAGCTTCCTGGCCTCCCGTCTTCTGCTAATATTTCTACCTTCTTTTTCTGTTAATTTTTTGCTACGCTGATTTTTCCATCTACGGCCCGAATAGCCCAAGGGTCCGTAATTTCTCCTTTCCAAAGGAGCGGGAAACCATTAGTTCAGGTCCCTATCAATATGACAGCTAGAAAGTTAGGAACGTCAGCATTAGTAAGCCGGATGGAAACTGGTTACCATCGCAGCGGCCCTCTGAGGTGGAAGCTTGAGCACATACGAAGAGTTGATTAGTTTCCTGCTGAAGGATTTCTTTACGAATGTTGTCTGCCTACTCCTAAAGAAAATCTTGACTGCAGAAAATTAAGTTACATATGCTGGGAAGTCGCTCTTTAATATATATTTTAAAATGTACTCATATATACAGGAAATGTATGCAGTGCCCTCAGAGACAGGCTTTAATCTTGTGACCTGAACAATGCTTGCAGACCCTAATTATATCTCTGATTACACTATGAGGTAGATATTAGTATTTTTGCATAAGTGTAAACTGACTCATGCCAATGTTGATTTTTTAATAATTGGCCTAGTTTAGCTCATGCTGTATTGAAAATTTCAAATTAATTCTATAGCTTCTAGGAGGCAATTCTGGCACAATTTTTCTGAACCTATTATCATTTATAGAATTGTTGAATTTCACCAAAGTCATTTTCACAAAATAGTAAGCCCTTTCTGGTAACTGCCAAGACTTACCATTTTATGGGGAAGACAAAAAAAAGAATTGGTGGGCAGCTTTAGTTAATATCCTGTTTGGAAATAACTTGTAAAGCCAATGACACTCCTGTTTACTGATTCTAATTCTGTGATTGAATACTCAATCATTCTGTATGGGTGTGGTTATGTCACGTAAGGCTTCCTTATTAGTAAATGGAAAACTTAAGGTTTCTCAAATCACCCAGATACAACTTAAATTCTCTCCTGGCAGTAGGTATGGAAGATAAATGTTGTTATATTTAGGCACAGCTTTTGCATATAATAAACAAGAAATTTTACTTGTTAAAAAAGTTGCAGTTGTTAAATAGTACATATAGTAAATTCACTGGATAGATGTTTTTTTACCCAAAGAATACCCTTTCCTTTGCCTTTACTTTCTTAAAAATTTGAAATAATTTTTTTCTAGATACATCCAGCTCTTAAATTTATGTCAGTGCAGTTATCTCTCTCTCAGGTGTTTCTACCAGTGAGAACAAAGAAAAGTAAATGCAGTATTTCTACCTTTAGCATTTTTTTCCCTGAGGAAGATCTATACTTACTAGCCTATGAAACTACCTGGTGTTCTGACCGAACACCACAAATGTTCTGAGTTCAGATCTAAGCTACAACACTTATTAGTTCATGACTTCAGGCAAATCATTCTCTGAGCATAATCTTAAAAACAGGAATAAGGCTTGTCTTGCAGGATTGTTGTGGAGATTGGTAATAATAAATGTATAGCACTAGACACATAGTAGGTACCCGATAAATGATAGCTATAAAATGGGGTTTGCGCTTATTTGGCACCTTAGGTAGTCTATATTGTTTTAATGTCATTGTTGTTTTCTCCATTACTTCCCTATTGTTTCTCTTCATAACTACTTCCACCACCCCCATTCATGTTGTAATGTTCCTCTTCTATATTTGTGGGTAATTTTATTAAAATTTTACTACGTCAGCATGATTTTATTTTATTTTGATAGGTAACATACAGTAATAGTACAAAAGCAAAAGAACAAAAGATTATACAATGAAAAGTAGTATCCCTTCTTTCCTAGTTCCTAGCCATCTAATTCTCCCCAGATCAGCCATGTTGCCAGTTAGTTTCTTGGTGTTTTCCTAGTGATTATACTTTTTTTTTTGAGACAGAGTCTCTCTTTGTTGTCCAGGCTAGAGTGAGTGCCGTGGCATCAGCCTAGCTCACAGCAACCTCAAACTCCTGGACTCAAGCAATCCTGCCTCAGCCTCCTTAGTAGCTGGGACTACAGGCATACGCCACCATGCCTGGCTAATTTTTTCCATATATATTAGTTGGCCAATTAATTTCTTTCTATTTATAGTAGAGTCGGGGTCTCGCTCTTGCTCAGACTGGTTTCGAACTCCTGACCTCAAGCAATCCGCCTGCCTCAGCCTCCCAGAGTGCTAGGATTACAAGCGTGAGCCACTGCCTCCAGCCTAGCGATTATACTTTAAACAAACACACATGTAGCTCTGACCTCCCCCCCCCCAAAAAAAGTGGCTTAATATAAACCCTACTACTTTTTGTACCTTTTTAATGAAGTTAGCACACTGATTTTAAATGCACAGCTCAATTAAAAAGTAAGTACATATATAAATATATACATACCACTCAGGTCAAGAAATACCACTAGCACTAGGTAAGACACTAGCAAAGCCCGCTTTACATCTTTAGTCATTACCCCTTCCCGAAGAAAATCATATGCTGACTTTTAACATCATAGATTTGTTTTGCCTGATTTAAGGTTGGCATAAGTGGCATATGTATTCCACTGTCTAGTTTCTATTGGTCATCAGTTTGAGATTCATCCATGTTATTGTATATACTTTTTAAGTGTTGTATAGAATTCCTACCATACTCTTCACTTACTAAATCTTGAGATGTTTTCATATCTTTTACACACACACACACACACCCCCTCACAAACCCCTCTCTCGCCCCCCAACCTGGGTTTTCTGTCTACTTTTAAATAGTGCAAAAATATTATTGATCAGTCATTTGGATGCTGTGTTACATATGGCTTGCTGTTTTACTAATTTGTAATTACTGTTTCTTTGCTAACATTTTCCTTTATTTCAACATAGTTTTTTATAATTTATACCAACTGCTTAATTTTGTCATAATTTATTAAAATATTTTCCTAACAGGAATTTATGGAATAAGCACAAATAAAGCAATTCTCTTTTCCCATTTTCCCAATGAGAAGATTCAAGATATGTTCTGATTATCTTGACTACATAAACTTGTGGGATATAGATTATTTCATCAGTTTTCCAGTAGATCTACCTTCTAAATTGAGAATAACCATTTCGAATTGTATTTGCTAGCATGAGAAACATTATCCAAAACCACAAATACCTCTTTACATACCATAAGTATAGTTGATCTTGTCTGTGAGATGTATGTGATGGCCATAACCTAACCATTTACTATATTACAAGTGGATTTTTAAAAAGAGCTTACTTGCAGTGATACCAAGCTTTTGTGATTATAAAGTCAATACCCCCAGAAATAATTATTAAATCTACATTAAATATCTCTGTTGCTTTTAAAGCTGATCTTATCAGGTCATTTAAGATTAATGTGTCTTCCCCAAAATGCTTTATTATTAAAATATAAAATGAGCAAATTATTAATGTTACAAGTAGATTATAAAGTAGCTTTTGAATCTGTTTCTTGGATGTTGAAAAACCCAATTCTGGACTAAGTGAAATCATCAGGTCTTAAGTTTAGCAGTGCCACATCTACCATCCTTCATTTATATACCTATTGGGTTCAGTGTACTCTTTTAAAGCTGATACTGAGGTAACTAACAAGTAGAAAAATACAGGCTTGAACTTTATTCTCTGACCAGAGAAAAAAGTGGCAAAGGCTACAGGCTGGATGGTTATATGTATATCAGCTTATTACAGTAACTAGTGATTACTCCACTGCTCAAAATTTTTTAAAATCTTAGCAGCCTACATATTATAAGAAACACTTGTTTTCTATTTATGTTTTGAAA